GTGCTTTGACCACCATATCAGACCTAGCTTGATCTCATTGCTAATAAAGATGATGCAGCCTATCTCAGTATGCAGTGCTTATTTGTGATCAGAGATATCACATGCTGGGATCTGTAATCTTTTGCTGATTGTTCCTTCATATTAAAAATAAAATAAAATAAAATAGGGCAGCTGTACTTCATTTTTCTTTCAATCTCTCAGGGTCCAGGGAAGTTGCCAACACCGCCCACAGTCAAGCAAAGATCTGGCACTCCAACAATACACCATGTGAAATACACAGGCATGCTGATACCACCCACAAAGGGGAAGGCGTATTTACATCCGTTCCTGTGAATACATCACTACTGGAAGCAACAAGAAATAGATCAAAAGAGAGGCTGCAGCACAGATAAACAGCTCTTCAGTTTGAGCCTCAATAGCTCAAAGAAAAAGAAAAGGGAAAAACCTATCCCGACTGTCAGCAGGGAGGGGGGTACTGAGGAAAGGAAATAAGAAGTGCGGCACAGCTTTGCGAACTCCCATGGAAATGGGGAAGGTTGCAGGAGTAACAGCATTCTGTAGTTAACAAAGATGAGTTATTTATAGGGAGGATATAACATAACAAGGAGATTTAGGCATTGTGGGCAAAAAAAAAGAAGTGCACAGTTTGATGCACTAATGATGGCATATATGCATATTAATTCATAAATAACTATACAACTTTTAGAAGACACCTGACGGCAGCCCTGTATGAGGAGGGTTTTAATGTTTTATAATGTTTTATTAATTTATTTTTATTAGACACGGACCACAGAAGCCACATGACACATGAGTCAAAAACCTATTTTTAGCTGCCTCAACCAAGTTGGGATAGCTCTGCTGAGGATTTTGTTAAAATTACAGGGTCAAAGTAAAAATGTCTGAAGTCATATTATAAGCAATTTATGCAAGAGAAGTGACTGTTGAATGTATGTTTGCAGCAAATAATGATAGCAAACACTGATAAAGGTGTTGCCATCAAATCTGGCCTTAAAGCAAAATGTTCAAGTCAAGTTCCTGGTTGGGTGAAATAGCTTGATTTCAAGGGAAGAGGGGGGGGAAAGTGGGGGAGGTCTTATAACAGGGATAGCCAACATGGTGCTCTCTAGATGTTTTTGCACTAAAACTCCCATCATCCCTAAATACTACCTCTGCTGGCCTGGGATGATGGGAGTTATAGTCTACAACTCAGAAGGCACCATTTTGGCTACCCCTGTTCTGTAAGGATGGTGATAATTCTAAAGATGGATGGAATACATATTCTTAAACATGCCACCATACTATATCTGAAAGTAAATTTGGAAAACTTCCAAAGAATGCTGAGTGATTCAAAATTTGCATTTCTCAAAGCAATTTTGCACACTTCCATTTGATGGAGCCACCAGTGCTTCAGTTACTTACACCTCAGTACAGTTAAGAAAGCCTAAGTGTTGTTATATCGGTGGGTTCTATTGAACAGTTGAACAGTTAATGTGCTTAGCATTACAACCATATTGAATAAGAAAACAGTCATGTAATTATCTTTACTCTATAAACAGCTGCCTGGAAAGTATAGTAAATAAATAAGGCAGTGCAGTAAATAGAAGGTCTTCTGGAAACAATCATTTTGTTGTAAAAGAGTACTGATGCTTGATTTCAAAGGTTCAATTGATACGAGAGGTTTTTGATATATGGGTGTGCATTTACCATACCTCAACAGCTAACATTATTAAAAGACACAGATAGATAGATAGATAGATAGATAGATAGATAGATAGATATGGGGGACACTGAGGCAGCCATTGGCTAGCCTAGGCTTCCAAAGTCCAGAACAGACCACTCAATGTGTTAAGCCAGGAGAGGAGTAGTTAACTTCATGAGATGATTTCTGTCATTAAAATCTTCTCCCACCCCATCACACAAGGCATGGAGGAGAGTTATACAGGAGAGTAGCAAACTTTCTCTCAAATAAACTCATAATGTCCCTACACTTTTTTTCTGATACTTTCCATAACTGAAGTGAGGCAGGAAGGTTATTGGAAGGGTACAGTTGAGGGCTTGATCGGGATCCCACAAAAATCTGAAAGTGCTATGGTCACACAAGGTCATAGGAAAAGAAATTTGCTAGAAGAAAATATATTGCAGGTAGGCCAGTCCGGTAACAGTAAATGCATGTTTTTCTGCTACTTTACTACCGTGCTTGTCCTACAGTTGAAGGCAAACAATTATGGTTTTTAGTAGTGCCATGACATTTGAAAGAAGCTGTAACCAAGGTATTATTGTAAAGCATAGAAGCCTATATTTTGAAACGTTCATCTCTGAGTTAATGAATTCCTTCGGGGTAACTTGTTCTAAAAGGAATGACCCATTGAAAATAAATGGGTCACAAAGCTATTTCACATGCTATCTTTTCACTCTCTCAGCCATCCTCAAAACATTACAAGGTTCAGAAGCATATGAGTTCAGTGAACTTAATAATTCCATTTAAAAGGGGGAAAGTCTTTTCACACTTGTAAAATAAAGTTTTATCTATAAGACCTAGCCATTCTTAGAATTCAAGCCTTAAGCATCAATTTAGAAATGCTTCAGTACCATAATTTATTTTGCCTGTTGCAGGGAAATGCTTCCAATGACATTCAGAGAAATAGCAAGGTAGTGGATAGGAGTCTGAACATGTTTTAATCTCAAAATTGTTCATCTTCCACATTCTGCTACAGATGTAAAATATAGAGATTACATTTTATTTTGGGCTTGGACAATCAAAGATATAAAAGATCTGTTATTTAAACATCTAAACCAAATTCATAATTATTAAATCACCTTGAGTTATATTGTTTTATACAGAATCTGATGATATACACATCAGAAAAATGGGATTAAATGAGGTAGTTAATTTATCACCTTTACAGAATAAACTAATAGGTACCAGGTATATAAGTATATAAGTACTATGGGGATGCGGGTGGTGCTGTGGTCTAAACCACTGAGCCTCTTGGGCTTGCCAATCAGAAGGTTGGAGGTTCGAATCCCTGTGATGGGGTGAGCTCCCGTTGCTCGGTCCCAGCTCCTGCCAACCTAGCAGTTTGAAAGCACGCCAAAAAGTGCAAGTAAATAAATAGGTACCACTTCAGCGGGAAGGTAAACATTTTTTCCATGAGCTGCTCTGGTTTCACCAGAAGCGGCTTAGTCATGCTGGCCACATGACCCAGAAAAACTGTCTGCGGACAAACGCCGGCTCCCTCAGCCTGTAAAGCAAGATGAGCGCCACAACCTCAGAGTCGTTTGCGACTGGACTTAACTGTCAGGGGTCCCTTTACCATTTTATATAAGTATACATCAAACCCAGAAACATTAACTTATCAAATTTGCTAATTACAAGACTTGTGTAAATTATACAATCCAGAGGAGGCTTCTGCCAATGGAAAGGGAGGTAGCTTGACCCCTGCAAATCTTTAAAGCTTGCTGTCACATCTGTAAATGATGGTATGGATCAGGAGAGGGTATCCTCAGACTTCTATCCAACCCTCTGGACTTTTGCTTATTTTTTTTTTTTAAGAATAATTTTTTATTAACCGACCAATCACATCAAATCAAACCAAATTACATAAATTCCAAATTACAGAGCCGAATTTTAAATTTTTGTTGGGGGTACCCATATTTCAAGTTCCGAAGGGATCCAATCAACTTCTTCCTTCTTACTGCTGTTTTAATGTCCACAAATCTAACCTTATGATGTTCACAGTACTATCCAGTCCTTTCTTATTATTTTTCCACATCTCTTGTTGTTATTTTCATATATTTTTCCTTTCTCTTTGTGACCTCTGATAGTTTCCGCAAGCTGGTTAGAACAGTTTGTAATCCTGCGTGGATATTTTTTTTTTTATCCAGTAGCCATATCCAGACGTTTTCCATATAACATCACTTCCATACATCAAAACAGTCTTAGCATCATTAATCTTCACCAATCTGCCTCCTTTCTCAAAACCTCTGAGGAGATTCACTAGGAATGCAGTCTGAAAACAAATCCGTTCTTCCTCCCGGCTGTAAATCCTTTGGCAAGATGGCGACTCCGAATTAATTGCTGCGCCATTCCCAAAAGCTCTTATTGCTTCTCGGTCTCCATAAAGCATACTTTTGGTTAAAGTTTATCTCCACACAGACCTTAATCATCCTGCTTGGGTCAGTTCAACCGACGGTTCTAATGAGGAGGGGTTCTTGTAAATCACATAGAAGGAAAGTAAAAAAGGTTCCCCCCCCCCATTCAGTCCCGTTGTCAACATACCCCGCCTTTGGTGTATCTTCATCGTAAAATATTCCTGTTTCTCCAGCCCGTCGTCTTCTTTCGCAGAGGTCACTTAAATTAGCAGACTTCACTCCCTTTCTTCACTTGAAATATGTGCATTTGCTTCTTTTGTAGTTAATTATTCCAAATTGCTGCAACTAGTGCGCGATCAGAGACAGCATCCAGGAGAGCCGATGTCCACACGGGGGCATTCTGCCTAGGGCCCTCACCCCCTTCTTTCGAATTAGGGGGTGATTTATGGGCACAGCAGGCAAGGGCAGTGTTCCCCATTTCCTTGGGGCAACAAGGGAGGCTGCCTACTTCCATAACAGCCTCTTAATTACCCCGTGTGGGTCGGAGAGATGGTATTGTCGGCCATCTTCCAATGCGCCCCCTAGTGGCCCCCCCAACCCTCTGGACTTTTGCAGGCCACACTTCCTCCCCAGGCCATCATCTGCAGCATCCTGCCCTCAGTTGCTTTTGCCTGACTAGAATGTTTCCTTTAGAGCCATAGCCAAGCACTGATCTAGTAGCAAAACACAACCATGTCCCAACAGTTTCAATGTTAAGTCTGCAACCTAACCATGTTTACCAAGGAGTAAGCCTCAGTAAAGTCAGGAGAGAAAGAAACCTTAGGATCATGATGTAATATAAAGACCAGGCCAACTTGAATAAAATATTGGGGGGCAGGAAGCCTTGCCCTGAATAATTGATCACATGATGTGGCGTGTGTGTGTGTGTGTGTGTGTGCGCGCACACACACACACACACACACACACACACACTATTTGAATGGCAAGGCCTATCCCCTTCTAATATTTTATGGAGGGACAACAAAGGGATAGCCCCTAGGAGTTGGCTCCTATGACCAGACCAATGTGTGGTTCCCACATCCGATGTAATTGATAACAAGTAACTTTTAAATATGCCTCAGTTGTGATGTCTGATTCCTATACATACTCCTGTAACACTGGCATATGAATATGTATTTCTTGTAATACATTTAAATGTGTATTGAGGACAGCCACTTTAGCAAAATACCATAAGACTGGAGATAACTCCCAGTTATTAAGCTCAGTGTGTTACTTTGTTTCCTGCTGTGTAATTTAGCAACTCCAAAATTTGTGGAAAAAAATATCTTGTTTGAGAAGAAGCATATACTTCACATTTCCCGGTTTTGGACCAAATAATTAAAAATAACATTAAAAATTATGTTGCCACCACTGGGAGTTGCAGTTTCAAAGGTCTAGTTATTCTGGACATCCAAGACTTTTAATCACCATCACCCCCAGATTAAAGAAACTGTTTGATGAACAGTTTTTCAAGACATTTGCAAATATTAATAAGTGGTGGTTAGCATTACTCACTTTGCCCCCTCTTATGAAAAACAATCTAGTTTTGAGACCAGCTGTGTTAAGATAGCAAATGTAACGCTAATTATTGGGGTGCCCAATGTGAGAGACCAGATGTCCCAAGAGAGTTTTGAACCTCTGAATGGAAGACATCCATAGGGAAGTGATAGTTTATGCCCCAGGTGGAATGCCTGCATAATAATATTTTGTTTCCTCACTTGGAGGGTTGAGATTTTTATGAGCGCCTATATGTGACTTGACTATTGTGGGTTGGTGTGGGCTGGTGGCATGATAAATTGTGTATTAGGTTTTCTTTTTACAGTACTTTATTTTTTAGTGCCCAAATCCTGTTTGCACATGATTGCAGGCCACACAGCTAAGTATCTCATGTGGAAAATAATGAGGGTATTAAATAATAATAAACCCAGCCAGATGGGTGGGGTGGTTTTATTATTATTATTATTATTTGTAACCTGCAGGTAAACTCTTACAAGGCTGTATTGTTAGGAATTTCACCTGGGGATGAATCATAGTTTTGAATGTAGAAAGGTCCTGATTCAAATCAAAGGACATAAGGTAGCAGGCCTAAGAAACATCTTGATACAAGATCGGAATAGCCTCGGGCAGACAGAGTTGACATTGCTGGATTGAACATAAGAAGCTAATTTATAGTAAATCATAATGTTGATGTATCAAGCCAAGTTCTGTCCACTGCACTCTTACTGGCATCAGCTATCCTGGATTTTAAGAGTCATTTTCAGCTATGTTGCCTGGGACACTTTAGCTAAGCATTTTGCATACATGATATGTGCTCTGTCCCACTGAGCTTCGGCCAAGTGCACTACTGGCTTGGTTAAGGATGCTTGGGGTCTTCTTTATGCTGAGTCAAACCATTGTTCCATGAAGTTCAGTACTGTCTACACTAATCTGTGGTGACAATTCAGGGTTTCAGGAAGGGGTCCTTCCAAGCCCTACCTGAAGATGTCAGAGATTGAACTCTGAACTTTGGCCTCATATTGTGCCTACTGACACAAACTGCAACCATCCACTGGAACAAGAGGCAAGGAAAAGTTGAACAAACTAAGGTAAATTCATTAAGATCCAGTGTTTTCTATCCAGCAAATCATGCATTTTCAGTCAGAATACCATTAGTTTGCCAAGACTATTATTGTTACTGCATTACTAAGCACATTTGTGAGGATGTAACAGTCACACCTTGACTAGGTCTAGAAAATTACACTAATGAGTCTTGCAGTGATTTATTAAGGCAGCCTGGAAGGTGATTTAGTAATTTGCTTATAAATAACGCTTCATGACACTTGTTTTATAGATCAGAGAAGTGTGTCAAATTCTGTATACCTTCCAAAGAGTAAAATACCAGAAAAGTCCATTACTTGCCACAAAGATGGATAAGGTCTCTTAACTGTGCAGGTGTTGGAGCCAGCACACATAACAATTTTTACAGAATGCCAGAATGATGCCCCTTAACAGTAGTGCTAATTATGACATTAATAAATGAAGCTCTGCTGGAAAAGATGAAAGAATGATCTAGCTTGCCATCCTGTTTCCCACAGTAGTCAGATACCTATGGGAAACCTATAAGAAAGATTTTAGAGAAATAGACCTCTCCTGCTGATGTTCCCCAAAGATGGGTATTCAGAGGCATGCTACCTTTGATCTTTAAGGTAGCATCTACCTTGGAAATATATAATCATAAATAGTAGCCACTGATATAGCCTGGTCCTCCACAAATTTGTAATGAGTTCCACAACTCTGTGCTATGTGAATAAGTACCTCCTTTTGTTTTTCCTGAATCTCCCACCATTCAGGTTCATTGAATGATTCCAGGTTCTTTCTCAATGCAGAATGTGTGGCCACAAAGAAGCGTGGTCAGTGAGCACATTACCATCACTTCCCACAAACCCATTAATACATGAGGGTATTAATTAAGTCCTTTCCATGACGTTCTCCATGTATTACTTTGAAATTAAATATGATGTCCTGAGAATCACATTGTAAGATAATGATGATGAAGATGATTGGGCTGGAGTAATTGAAAGTCTGGAAGAAATCATAACATGTTGCTCTTTGGGGGAAAAACCTGGTTTTCTTTCTACTTTGCAGGAATCATTAGTCACTTTAGAGCTTCTTTCTTAAGTTGGTAGTGGAGCTATAATTAGATTGCACCTTCTCATTTGCATTCCCACTATGAAAGGTAATATTTTACATGTCAAATAATACATATGGATTAATATTTAGGGTTAAAAGCATGACAGTTTATTTCACATTTTAATGTATCCTACTCGGTATACGTATATTAGGTTAATGAAATATGACTTTAATTTCATGATTTTTAAAATTAATAGTCTCATTAGGAATTTGCTTAATCTGCAGACTTTTAGAACATTTTAAGGATAATTTTATTCATTACTAAAATGTCATAAAATTATATATATATATATATATATATATATATATATATCTCAAAGACTATGAAGACCTGATAGATCAATTTTAAATCAATGCATGATAAAAGTTTGCATTAGTTTTATCAAGTGTAAATATGTCAGTGACCTGAACAATGAATAATTTGCCCATAAACTAGTCACTGGCTAAATTTAATGAATATCAGTCAGAAGCTATATGTGCAGAACACTTATTTGTTTAAAGAGTCTTTGATGTTAATATCTCCCCTGTGGGACTTTGAACATTTATTTCTAAATGACTTTATCTTACCCCGGTCCATACACAATCTGACATGGTGCTTTACTTTGCATATTAGACGAATAGAGTGCCTTCTTCATGCCTGAGGTCACTTGTGTGGTGGACAGGGGAATGCTCCTCCATTGTGCACTAAAGCCACATGCACAATACGAACTGCCCTTCATCTGAGGATCATAGGGCAGTTTACAGTATAAAAACACCGAAATAAGACATAACAACAAAAACTAACGATCATAATAACAAAAACTAACAACAAGAACAACAATTTATTAAAACAATACACACACAAACAAACCCCAGTTTAAGGTTATAGATTGTTTAATTAGCCAAAGTGCCCAGAAACTAATTGGCAGCCCACGGTCGGGCCAGGATTGGCATTATTTGCTCAAACTGTCTTGTCCCTGTGAGCCACCTGGCTGCTGAATTCTGCACGAACTGAACTTTCTGAACAATCTTCAGAGGCAGCCACATGTATAAAGCACTGAGGTTCCCAGGACATCAACAACAGAATTTAGGCAATCTCTGTCCCAATACGGGCACAGCTGGGCCACTAGCCAAAGCTGATGAAAGGCACTCCATGCCACAGTTCACCTGAGCCTCAAGCAACAACAAAGTATCCCAGAAGTACCCCCAAGCTATATGCCTGATCCTTCAGAGAGAGTGTAACCCCATCAAGAGAGCCAGTGTGGTGTAGTGGTTAAGAGCAGTGAACTCGTAATCTGGTGAACCGGGTTTGATTCCCTGCTCCTCCACATGCACCTGCTGGGTGACCTTGGGCTAGTCACACTGCTTTGAAGTCTCTCAGCCTCACTCACCTCACAGAGTGTTTGTTGTGGGGGAGGAAGGGAAAGGAGATTGTTAACTGCTTTGAGACTCCTTAGGGTAGTGATAAAGCAGGATATCAAATCCAAACTCTTCTTCTTCATCATCATCAAGAGCAGGCAACCTTCCATCCATCTGGTCTAGGAACCACTCACTAACAGAGCCTCAGTCGTATCTGGATTGAGCATCAGTTTGTTGGCTCTCATTCAGTCCATTACTCAGGCAAGGCAATGGTCCAGCAACAGTGTATTCATGTTATCAATTATTGTTGAGCTTAATTCTTTTTTTATTTTTTAAAGGAAAGAATTTAATCCTATTTAAATTTCATTGGCTGCTCCAATAACTAATTGGTTAAAAATAATCTGGCATATAACTAGAAACAATATCTGAAGTATAGCAAAGGCAGTTACTCTGCCTTTGGTTCTCCCTCCCTCTCTGCTTCTGAATTGCTCTGCCTATCTTGCCAAAAAAAGAGAGGTATTCAGGTGAACTAGTTTTTGTGGAGTTTTTAAATAACTGGTCCTTTTGTAGCACCACCTGCTGTTAATTGAAAGTATAATATCTATAAATAATTTCTCAAACTATAATTGGACAAATTATATCACATTCATATTCCGATGAAAGTGATAGTCAAGGATTACAGAAACAAGGATATTAGTGGATCAGTCACCAATACGTACTTAATGGCTGCATCCTGTGACACATCATATTTTACAACGCCTTGTGACTAGAAGCTGGAAGTGTAGCTTATGGATTTTAATGTACTCAGAAGACCCTAATCCACTTCTGGGCATGGCTTGCATGGTCAAGAATTGTAAATACTGAACATCAGCAAGTGAGTTTACAGATAGTGCAGCAAGGAGTCAAGCTTCTCAAGGCCATTTACCT